ATCGTCTCGTGAATTTCATCTAAACTGTGTAATTAGTTTTATTTTTTATTTATATTTAATGCTTCATGCATATGTCAAAGATTCGATGTGACGGGGAATCTTGAAAAATTTTGCAAAATTTTGGGAACTAAACAGGCACTAACTGTAACCAAGGCCCGTTCGCTTTGCTAAAAAAAAGAAGCCAAAACACTCTTCCGGCTAATTTATTGTGAGAGAAAAATATTATTCCGGCTAAAAAAAAAAACAAAAAATATCGGAATAGAAGAGAAGCGAACAGGGTATTTGTACATGTACATCTCATCAGTTGTGGTTGATATCTTTGTGGCCATCCATCAAACAACAATCACCCTATTTGTTTGTTGGTTTCAGCCAGTCTTATTCAATTAGTCAACAGTGTTTTTCTCTCGTAAAAAACCAACACCAGCCAGCCCAAACCAGCACCAACACCCACCAGCGAACATGATAAATAATACGAAAACCGTAATATGCTCATCCGGCTACTAGGATTTACATTTCTTCACGCCATAGCTCCCCATACGAAACTTCAGAGATTTATTTCCTCCAACCAGTGAAACAACAATCCTCCAACCAAGCCAATCACTTTCTGTGATAATCTAGACCTCGATTTGACCGGCTAAAATACAAGAAAAGCAAAAATGTTTACCAGCTCCCCATACGAACCAAACCACGCTTGGTTGGTGTAGTCCGACGCGGACGTAGGGCCTGCTGGATGCGAACGCGGAAGGGATGGCCGGCGGCTGGACGGCCCGAGCTAGCGGGAGAAACCTCTGAGCAGGCGCCGCCGTCGCAGATGTCCGGACGGACTGCAGACTCATCTTTGCTGTGCATCTAGGGATCTTGACTTTGGCGATTTACGAAAAATTTGTGGCTGTGATTTGGTTTGTGGGAGCTTCTATTTGGCGCATGGATCTTCTATTTGGCAGGACGAGTAGGGCGATTTGGCGCCGGCATGCGCGGTGGCGAAAGAGGCGTGCAGAATGGTATTTTTATAATAAATTAATTTAGAGCTATAAATATAAATATTATTTACTAAAAAAAACTTAGTCAAAGTGACACGCAACCTAACCCGTAGTTACTTTTTTTTAAGGACAGAGCTAGTACTACCAGCTGCCTGCCAAGTCCCTATGTGCGTGAGTACGTGAGGGACCAGACCCACTCCTCCTCAGTCCTCAGGCGAAGAGAAGAAGACAGCGCGCAGTTGCAGTTACACCGCCCCACGCGCGCTAACGAAGTCAGCTCTGCCGAGTCGGCCGCCAAGAACTCTAGGGCGGATGCATGCCGAGGGCGCCTGCTGCCGGCTGTCCGGCGCTTTGCTTTGTGGGAGATGCGTGTACTGCGTCTGCGTCCCTGCTGCTTTTCCTGATGCCTGATGTAGTCTGTCTGTCTGATTGCCCAGGCAGGACGATCCGTCTTTGGGGTGTTCGATTCAGGACTAAAGTTTAGTCCCTCACATCATACGTTCATATGGAGAAATAAACATAAGTTAATTATAAAATTAATTACATAGATAGAGAGTAATATTCGAGATAAATATATTAAACCTAATTAATTTATCATTAACACATGTTTATTATAGCACCACATTATCAAATTATAAATTAATTAGACTTAATAGATTTATCTCACAAATTAGTCTCTAACTGTGTAATTAATTTTATAATTAGTCTATATTTAATATTTCAAATTAGTATCAAACCTTCCATGTGCGTAAAAATTAGTGACTGAAACAAACATCCTCTGCGAGATGCTGACTGGTGATGGACTGGTAGACTTCCTGTCCCGGCCTGCAAGATGCTGACTGGTGGTGGATTGGTAGACCTCCTGTCCCGGCCGGTCCTCGCAACGCGACGCGGCGGTAACGGTTGTGGGAAGGTGAGCAGTGAGATCACTGGCCGCCTTTCGGTCCTCATCAGCTTAGAGCACGTTCAATGCGCCACGGTGTCTTGTGGCCTCGTCAGACACGTAGGCTCGGATACGAAAAAGCAGCAAAGATGTTGGCTTCGTAGGCTGTCAGACGAGGTGTACCGCCGTAACAAATCAGCGTGAACATCAATATTAACCGTTTTTCCTGCCGGGGCCAAACAGGACCGTCACCGGAGCTGTGCTTCTCTCTACGGATGCGCGTGTACATGCAGGAAAGTGAAGGGGACAGCAGGAAGCGGTGGGACAAAGGAGGCATGTGTGCTGTGTGCCCTGCGTTGGGAAGCTTTTGGTCTTGGCCTATCCGCTCCTACGTAGATGAATACTTTTTCGACACGTTTGGATCGGGATGAGAACAGGGATAGGGATAGGTAATATTAGCCATCCATTCATCATACGTCATTTAATCCTAGCCGTCCATTCATTTCTCTTTTCCTATCCCAACCTTTATATCTCAATATCCAAACGGCACCTTTCATGAGGCTGTTCATCTTGTATGCGTGCATTGCTGCTGCCCCTCGGAATGTTAGCAGGACCATGCTTCTTCTTCTTCTTCTATCGAGCTGTTCTCCCACTTTGCCGTTCGTCAGATTCAGTCTCTCATAAAAGAACTGTTCGGCGAAGAAGGTTAGTACAGTGTTACACCGCAAGATGGAATCACAATCACCGTTTGTGTGTCCAATTGGGACAGTGTTGTATTGTGTTCTGACAACAAAAGAACTATTCAGCTATAATCTACAGTATTTTCTCTCACAACAAAACAGTTTCAACCGGCTTATCAGCCGGATTTAATACCAGCCGAACAGCCCAAAGTCATCAGATCCTGCTTACTTATCAGTTATCACACACAACCTGGTCACTGCTCAGGAGTCAGGACCCAGGACGCCCATAGTTTTCACGTAGTACCGGCCTACCGGGTACCTAGTCCAATGATCTTCAGAGGAAAAAAGGTTGATGAAAAGGGGGAAAAAAAGGGTGATGCCAGATGATCAGGGCAAAGGCAAATACCCGTGCACAGTGATGCGTGAACAGTCTCCTGATCTAGGTGCATGAACAGGGCCAAATTAAGACCAAATCTGGAAAGTTGAGAGCTTAGATTTGGAAGGGCACGGGAACGTGATAATGATCTCAAGCATACTTTATTTTTTTTCTTTTTAGAGAAAATAAAGTGAAGATATCACAAGCACACTTTGTAGAAAGGAAGGAAGAGGCTTTAGTTTCATAAGATAACGGATTCTTCAGAACAAATCACATGATACCACAGGCATATATATAGGATCCGAAAAATGTTTCCAACTCTTGTAGCCTTAAGAAGAGTAGATTACTACCTACTCTAGTTCATTAGTCTCAGGGAATGAATGGAGGAGTCGTGAGTTTGACGGTGCAGGTTACTGTCTTTTGATCTGCAAGATAGGAGTAGACCCTGCTAAGTTGCCAAGGAACAGAGCCATGATTCAGCTCAGCAACAGTAGGCACATCCATGCATGATGCATGCATTAGCTCAACTGTGGTCACCGGTCATAATCTGTCAGTCACCAGCAGACAGGATAACAGGAGTGCCCCATCCATCCTGAATGGTCCATGAGCTCAGCTCAACACAAGGATAGCACTAGTAGATGTTGAGCAATACTTATACCGGAAAATACTCTCTCCATCTATCCATAAAAGATGCAAATCTAGGTCTTATCCAAGTCAAATTATTTTGATTTTGACTAAATTTATAGAAAATAATATTACCATCAATGACTTCAAATAGGTATACTATAAAAATATATTCTATGATAAATCTAATAATATGTATTTAGTATGCTAAATATTACTATTTTTTATATAAATTTAAAAAGGCTCGTCTGAATATTATTCTAGAATTGTATCTTTTGTGAGATACTCCCTCCGTATTAGAATATCTGTCGTTCTCGCTTCCCGAGAAACAACTTTAACAAAATATATATTAAAAAATATTATTATTTATGGTATATAATTAATATCATCAGAAAGATCTTTGAATCTAGTTTTTTAATAAATTTATTTAGAGATATAAATGTTGCTAGTATTTTCTACAAATCGAGTCAAACTTGTGGCACGAAAACCGGAAACAACAATTAAACTGGGACAGAGGGAGTAGAGTAGAGTTATTATTTTGTTCCCCAGATATGAAAAAGTTAATACTAGCAGCATTGATTGATGGATGATGATTATCAGCTCACAGAAATGATTGGCAATGTTCCTCTCTTCTTGGAAACTGGAAAAGACATGAATGACATCCATCACCAGCAGCTTTGCTTTTCTTTCTCATAACAAGAAAAATGGTAAACAGTTTTATTCAACTTAGGTACAGTATATGATAGCAAACCGATTTAGGAGTAGGTTTTGTATGTAGCTTGTAGGCCACTTTTCTTAGATAAGCCATGAATAATATTAATCATAAGCCCTTTTATGGCAGCATGAGCATCCTGGCCAGCAGCCTTTTGTAGGAGCTTCAATTTTTTCTCTGGGTGAACTAGTTTCATTTTCCAAACGGATACAAACCTTAATTTACCATTTCCCCAATGGTCCCTGAAATAATATTAGAAATGCGGCGGGGAAGATTCTAATCACATTTACATCCAGTCATAATTAGATGATACTTTGGGCAGCAAATTTGGATATTTGCTATCCAAAACGGCAAAACGTAATCTAATTATGACATGGGCAGCAAGTTGTGGAACACAACACAATTCGGTTGACATCAATCTGAACTAGTACAAATCAACATTTTTTTGGGAGATTCAGGTGGTCTTCAAATGGCAAACAAATGCGTATATAACGAGAAAGAATTGCGTCACTTGACAAATCTCAATCACCGATAAAATTACACTCTGCCTATCAAACAAACAGAAAGGAAAAAAAAAACTGACTTAATCAGTCAAGGGACTGAACTGAACAAATCTCAAACTTCGCTATGACTAATTAATTAGGCATCGATCTCGATCTAAATCAAGTCGGTCAAGTCTTAATAACCAAACTCCATCAGTACTATTACTAAACTACATATACATACATGTAGAAGACCCATCATATCATCCGGTCATACCCTGGATCTCAGGCTTCCCACAATTCTCTGAAAAATCCAGTCAAAACCACAGAAATTCAAGTCAGTGATGAAAATTTTGAATTTTATTTTATTACAGTAAGTGCATGTAAGATGAAGAAATTTAGAGCTCTATGACAGAGCTATCCAAAAGGATCTCCAAGAGATATATGGGCGGCGAGCTATTGAGTTTGACATGGATGGATGCAATGCATGTGGCTGAGTGTGAGCAAGAAACAATCGTCGAGCATAAAGACCCGACGGCGACAGATTTTCACATCACATTCACATTCTGCCGCGTACCGTATTTTTTGTGCAGGATGCCGTCGGAAGGCGACGCCGCCGGAACGGCGGTCGGCGGCGGCGGCGGCTGCGCGGGGTTCTGCCGCTGGTAGAAGCCCATCGTGCCCTGCAGGCAATGCTGCTGAACCGTGTATGGTGGTGCTACCAAGGGCGGCGGCGGCGGCGGCAGGTGGTGGTCCAGGGCGAGGTAGCGCGCGTAGAGGTCGGGCACCGGCGGCGGCGGGCCATGCACGGCGGCAGGCGGCGCCATGAACGGCATACCGGGCATGGAAGCCACGTGGTGGGGAGGGGGCCCGGCCACCATCCGCTGCATGTACTGGTGCACCCCCGCCGGGAACACCACCGGCGCCGCTGCCGCTGCCATTCCGCCGCCCATCCACATCATCTGCGTGCGCCGCGACAATGCAAACGTCACACGTCGGTCGATGTCTCGTTCTTGGGTAGCTGGAGCTTGGTTTTGGGGCGACGAGGAAGGAAGGAAGGAAGCCGAAGCTCACCTGCAGCTGGAGCTGCAGCGACTTGAGGTACTCGATCGCCTCATCCAGCATCGACGCCTTGTCCGTCTGAAGAACTCGATGAAAGAATTCATATGAGATCAGATCGCAAGGATTGGAGATGACATGATATGAACAGAACCCCAAATCTAGCTATAACAGTGATGTGATTACTTTGTTGCAGTGAGGTATGAGCTCCTGCAGGGCCTTCATCTTCTCGTTGATTCTGTCCCTTCTCCTCTGCACCGGAACCGAATTCAGACGAAAGTTAGCAATGGCTGCCGGCCACGAAATCAGAGAGAGGTTTCTTGGAGAGGGTCAAAACTCAAAGGGCCCTACCCGCTCGGAGAGGTTGTGGACTTCGGCGGCGCGGCGGCGCTTGGCCGTCGTCGTCTTCTGCACCGGCTCGCACGTCACGTCGGCGGACTCGAACTCCACGTCCTGCATTCGCGGCCGTAAACGTGTCACTCCGTCATCGATCGACGCAGACGCAGCAGTGCGAAAAGATGGCGTCCGGGCCGGCACCCGGCAGTGGCGGGGGAACGTACCTCGGCGTCCGTGGCGTCGCTCTGCTTCCGCTTGCCGCTCCGGTGGGCGGCAGCAGCGGCGGCGCCGGGACCGGGATGCTCGCTCTTGGTGGTGCAGGACCTGGACCGCGTCGCCGACGACGTGTCCGTCGCGGCGTTGCGGGCCCTGGCGACGTCCTTAGCGGCCCCCGGCGGCGTGACGGCGTCGCGGGCGCGCGGCGTCGTCTGCTGCACGTGGTTGCTCCCGCAGAAGCTGGACCCGATGGTGAGCATGGACGACTCGCCGCCCTCCGTGACCTCGCAGCCGGCGGACGTCCTCGCCGTGGCACCGTCCGGGCCCCCGCAGCCGCCGGCGTCATCTCCCGGGCACGCCTTCTCGTCCCGCGGCCTAGGCAGCGGCGGCGGCATCATCCTGCTGCTCTGGCGCGAGGCGTCGCCCCCGCGCTCCGCCTCCTCCTTGCAGCACGCCCCCCTGGCGCCGTCGACCGCCGCCTGCGCCTCTCCGAAGAGCTCCGCGAAGAGGTCGTCCCTCTCGAGGGGGTCCTCCACCGGGTACTGGAACCACGCCTGCGCCGCCGCGTCGTCGTCCGGCACCGCCGCTGGCGCGGCGGCCTTGTCGGGCCTCGGCGGCTTCCGCAGCAGCGCCTGGCTCTGCATGACCACGTGGCCGTTGCACCACAGCAGCTCGATGAGCCCGTCGTCGTCGCCGCTGCTGCAAACAACACGACACCCCACCGCGTCAGCCATGGACGGAAAGAGGAGCGAGGAATAATAACACTCAAAAGGAGCAACTTTGTTGTTGCAAGAATGATCTGATCGGAACCAACCCCAATGGCGCGAAGGTGTCGCCCATGGCGCCGCTCCAATCAGGGATGTACTGCTGGTTCATGGCGGGCGCCTCACTCGGAGCAGCAGCGCATCCCAGTCCCACCGAGCACGGAATCCGACGCTCTCGATCGACCGCTGCAAGGAGAAGCACACGAGTCTTGTTTCAACCTCGATCACCAAAAAAAAAAAAGGAAAAAAAAAACAGAGCTCCAAGCACGTTTAGCAGAGGAGCAAGCACGCAACAGGGAGGAGAGCCGATGATGAACAGTAAAAATGTGTGGATGGGAGAGGGGGAGAGCTCAAGCACGGATATCTTATAATCCGCACTTTTTAGGACCATATTTTTCTCTCACATCAAATCAACCGAAACGGTGTTTTAACTTATTTTTTTAACGAAGCGAACGGAGCCAAAGTTGTAGCATAGTAGTATCCATCAGATGGACATATACAACCAACTGAAAAAGACCGGGGAAGGGGAAACACACACACGAACACAAACCCAGATGGACATAGAAAGTAAGTGTACAGAAGAAACAAGAACCTGACTGTTTATCCGCTCGTGGAACTGGAGCTGGATTGGATCTCGCTGCAGTGCAGCCAGAAATGAAATGAAATCTGCAGCGCAGAGCCCTCTCCCTGGTCCCTGCCTTTGCCTAGCTGCCAGAAACAAGAGCCAGCCAGGGGTTTGTTGCAGCAGGAGCAAGGCGGGGCAAGCAGGGGCGCAGCAGCAGGGGCTTTTTAACGAGGGCAAGAGCAGTGGCGGTGGACGGACGAGCTGGATTCTCCGGGTCCCGGGTACAACTACAAGTAGACCGGAGAGCGACGGGGAATGCTTATCGGTGGCGTTTCTTCTTCTTTTCCACAGCTCCTCCACAGGCAAGCAGAGCTGGCGTGTGGCCTGCTTGTATGTACCAGTACCCCTGTGTCGGCACTGAACATGTCGGACTCGCACACGAGCGCGTACGTCTACTCACTCTCCGATCCAGCGCACACGCACGCTGAGCACACGTTTTCCGTGTGATCACGCTGATTTATTTGCGGTATCCGTATGGGCTACTGCATGAACAGTCATCCGTGCTGGCAGCTGGCTTCGTACGAGCATCATCGGTACACAACTACGATACGATAGGGAAAAAGCACAAGGAAGACGCGAACACCAGTGACGCTACAACGAGAAACGTCACTAATGGTCCACGATTATAAGACAAGGCGTATTCCTTCGGTTCCAAATTACAAGACATTTTGGAACAGTGTATTTAGGCATTAATTTTAGTGCACACCAAAAAGGCATATGTCTAGAGAAGTTAAAATGTCTTATAATTTGGAATAGATGGAGTAATAAATTTAAAACACTTGTTTTTCTCATCGGTTGTATCTTGCTGTTTTAGTGACAGACTGATGCTGAATTGCTGATATCTGTGCCTGCCTGCTCTAGATATGCAAGCACGGGATATGTAGGGTTTTGGTTTGTGCGAGCTCTGTATAAACACCGGTATCGATACTCGCTATATGTAAAATTTTCCCTGTCCAGTGTTACCCACTGAACCCTAGTCTCTAGCCACATCCGTCACCCCTCCATACCGCTTTATCTCTCTTCATATTGAACGTGATGAAATGTTATAGACACTGCAACCCCTAGATCCACGTCCCAAAAAGTCCCGTCTATATCAGCTCCATGGATTGTCGGCCCCCATCGAAGTGCCTCATGAAAGGCCACGATGGATGGTCGTGCCACCACGAAGACCTCTTCCAGCGTCTCCTTGTTCACTTGTCCCACTTCTCCGATGGATGAGCTTTCTCTGCCAAGAGTTGACTGGCAATCGCAATGGAGGAAATTCTCCATCTTGACATGGAGAGTGAGTTGAGAATGTTATCTAATGATGAACTCAAACTCTGTGAAGATCTATTATAGACCTATAGATGTTGCCCCCCTATTGAGGCGGTTGTTAGGGTGCCCGTCGTCACTGCTCAATCGATATCTCCGTGTTTCCCCTTTAGCTTTGATTATCATGATGGTTATGCTTTCATTGTCTGTTCCGGACCTCCCATGGTCGATGGTCGCTATGGTCGTAGCCCTAGTTTCAACCAAAGCTTCTCCTGGTGTGGGCAAGGTGGGGGAGGGGATCGGAAATGAGTTCACATTGTCCACTTGCTTCAGGTTGCCCCTCAATGTTTGCATAGTGATGGACAATCGAGCTTCGAAGCAGTCGCCCATGCTCTACTAAGGTCACTCTTGGCCTTGGTTCTGGCATGAAACTATCTTCCCCGCCACCCGCACACCTAGCTATGAGACTTCATGGGTGAAGGAGGATTGCGAGAAATCGAGCTTCGTGCTTTGGCCAAGTCTTCATCAAGGCGCTCGTAGCATCATGGTTGTGAAAAAGGTGGTTGTGCGCTTATTGCGGATGGTGTGTCATGCGAAAGTGTTTTCGCCGCTTAGGTTGTCCGCTGCTATTTGAAAGCTTAGTTGCTTTGTTAGTCGTTTTGCTTAGTGCTCAGCTATGTCTGGGCGTAAACTGTTTGCTTACAATAACTTGAACTCTAGCGTGGATCCTTACGACTCTTCTTGTAAGGATCGTGTTGGTTGCGCCATCCGATTCGTGGTCTTGGTATATGCCCCCAGCTTGCTAGGATCATAGATCAAGTGTCGTAATTCTGTCTTCCTTTTAAGGAAACACGTGTTTAGACAAATTCAAGTAAAGAAAAACGAATATAGGTAAAGGTGTACACTTGTACCCTCATGGACTCATCCCCCATTCTTCCAACGAGTTGGCCATATATATGGACCCACTGCAGTTGCAGGTTGCGGTTCTTGCGAAGACTTGATGGGATTAGGATTCCCCAATCCAAGCTCTCAGTCTCATCGAGCACCAGTCTGACTGTACGTGTGGCACCAAATCTGCAAAGCAGACACTAGTGTCACGTCCGTCTCACTCCAACTCACACACTTGAAGAACCAGTCAGCTGCGTGCCTGCATGTTTGACAAGTTCCACTTCTGCGGCGGCCGGCCCATCCCCATCATCCGGCCGCCGGAATACACGCGTGATGAGCGGCTGAGCATACATACGCATTCACTCATAATTTCAATTTCAAAGCGCATCACTGTGCTGCAACAGAAGCGCAGCAAAGATCCGATCAAATTGCATGCAGCCCGTCCGTGGTCCTCACAGGATCTATCGGAGCACAATTCAGTCTATCCATCTATATTAATATGCGAAATAAATAGTTTGCAGGATGTGACCCTTCTCCACTGTTCATCATTAGGGCGATCAGACCTTTTTTTTTCCTTTCTATTTTTTTATTAAGCGATATTTAAAGGAAGACAACGTAGCACATGATCAATAATAGAGTCTGTCTACTGCACAACCATGTATTTTATGTAGTTTCAACACATTATTTTTTTTTACCATAGGATTAAGATCCAACAGTCTCCACCCTTCTTCTACCTCCAGCCTCCACAGATCACAGATCACAGATCATAATTTTTTTTCTATGGAAGGACAAATCACAGATCCGCCGCCGCCACCGCCACTGCCATGGACGGCGCGGGCGCCGGGGCGAGCTCGCCGGTCGCCGGCGCCGGCGCCGGTGGTCACCGGTGAGAAAGAGAGAGGGAGAGAGATACAAAAAAATTCATGTGCTTTTTTTTGCTAAAACACATGTGTGTTGTATAGCATTTCTGTAATAATAATTGGCAATTGCACAAAAAAATTAATAATTGGCAATTGCATGCACAGGAGTACGTAGTTTTCAGGTATGTCAGATACATGCATGCCCAAATTAAGGGCCATGATGATTTTGAAGCATTATTATATGTTTCAGTATTTTTCTTGAGTTTGTTATTATATAACCCTCCGTTTCAAAAACGATAATTGTAGCTAAAATGTCATCCTTGTCATCCGTTTTGGGACGGAGGGAACAGTATGTGATATGTGAAAAACTCGCACAGTGTAGAAAGCCTATAGGTCCGTACCATCCTTTTTCCTCCAAAATTTATGCATTCTTTCGGCCGCATATATTCTCAAAGTTAAAAAGATATGTTTTTCCATGGATGTCTTTTGATTTATGTATTTTGTTTTCAAGCATAGCCCCGTTTGGATTGCTGAAGCTTGGCTGAATTGGCTGAAAAACACTGTTCTGACTGAATTATTGTAAGAGAAAAACACTGTTCCGGCTAAAAAAACAAGCTAAATAGTGCGGATTATAAGGTAAGCCGAACAGGGCCATACTATAGTTAGCACATCCATTCCTTGTTTCAATCAAAAGTAAAAAAAAATGTTTGTGTATGGGGAACCCATCTTTCTCACTCTCCATTATTTGTTGATATTTCATATGTAAAACAAGAGCCAATAAAACTTAAGTTTCATTGTTCAAAAAGGAGCCTATTTTTTACCACTAACAATTCACTTTGCCCATTTAACTCAGCTCCTAGACAAAAACTTACCCAACATTTAACCTCCCTTCTTCTCCGTGGATTAATTCAAAATGGTTTTGACAAGTGGCATTATGTTTATAATTTTGGGAGAATTATAACCCTATCACGACAACCAAAGTTGTTGTAGAGATTATTAGAAAACTAATCATTTTTGAAGGGGAAACTATCTATGACAAATTTAGGATTTTTTTTATAAAAGCTTAGCAAAGATCCGATCAAATAGTAGCGTGGACCCCACAGGAGCACAATACCAATTTATACTGCAAAATAAATAGTTTGCAGGATGTGACGTCCTTCCGTAGTGTTCCTCAGATCATGGGCACAAGCAGAGCCTCAGTCTTTTTTTTCCCACCTTTTATTATGTTTTTTATTTTTGATGCCATAATAATCAGAAACAAAGTGCAGAGTCAAATGGCATGCATGTCTGATGCATTTTTTTAATAAGAGACGTGACTCCGAGGCATTTTCTGTTTTCAGTCTTTTCTTCAGCTTATTATTTATATGTGCAGTGGTGGAGTCATGAATTATATAGGGAGGGCAAGATAAAAAAAAAATCAACTTGCAAAAATCAAGTGCAACTCAACCGATTAGGTTCCTCGTAGTGACCGTGTGAGTTAATTCATCTACTTGGCATGGTTGCTCGTATTTTCTTATATATGTATTCTACGATTTAAGACGGTATTCTTTCAGTGGTAGACGACATACCCGTTGATAGTAGGCTCTACGATAATTTCGTAAATCTCGATATATACTGGCCTCGTATTTCGGATATTGAATGATTTTATTATCTAGTGCCTTTCAAATGTGCTCATATAGATTTTTTTTATAGTTGTGTTTTATATAATTATTATCTAATATATATATATATATATATATATGACAAAAATTTTGTTACATTCTCCCTCTTAATATAAATATAAAAATTATAAAGTTATACTAGTAAAAAGTCTTGGTGTGATATGTTAGGGGGGGCATGTGCCCCTCTTGGCTCTGCCACTGTAAATATCCAAAGTAATCTGGTTGCACAGATTGTCATTGTCGTGGTAGTTGGCTATATCGTTGCTCTGATAACTCTTGTAGTGTGCACATGGTGGACGGCCCCTCCATAGACTTTGGGGGCACCGGAGATTGGATGAGCCTTTAGATGGAAGAAATATCTAAATATGTCGAGGTGGGGATCGATTCCTAGGAAGGCTTCGCACATATCAGCAAAAATAGCGATTTGGGCGATTCTATTGGGATTCAAATGGACAAGTTGGATGTTGTAGAAGCGCATGTAGAAACTTTGAAGCGAGGAGACAAAGACCGCGCTAAATGAAAGAGGTTTTCCTCATTTTCAACCATGGCTGCCTTCATCAACCCTTTCAGGTTATCCAGCTCTTGCTTCATCAACTCTTGGTTGCCCTTTTCCTCTTTTGCTTCGTCTCTCTGATGGATATGGTAAGAGAAGTGCTTTGCTATGATCATTAAGTGTGATCATTACCCAACTCAGTGACCTGGTTCCCATAAGTGACAGTCCCATCCTTGAATTACCCAACTCCATTTTAATGTAAATAAAACAATGACGCGGTGTTTTCTAGTCTGGAGTAAAAAATCTTGGTGTGATATGTTGAGGGGCATATGGCCCCTGCTAGCCTCCCTTGGCTCCGCTACCGTTTTTGCGTAAAACTAGAAACTTTGCAGGGAACCTATCCATACCCTCCTTTGCTCGCATGAATTTTGCGCTCTTTTTCGGTACATCATATATAAAGATTCTTTAAATAAAAAAGAAATAATTTTTGAATGAATTTCATATAGCAGTAATTGTTTTCAAGTGTATTATACCTAGCACATTCATTCCTAGTCTCAGTTAGAATTATAAGAGTCATACTTAATATTTGTGGAGAACTCCTTTATTTCTCGCTCCCCATTTTGTCTTTCATATAAAATAGTAGCCAACTAAAACTTGTGTTTCAGTGTCTAAGGATCCTCTATTTAACACCTTAGAGAAAAGACTTACTCAACATTTTAACCACACCTCTTCTCCCCCAGATTAATTATAAGGCGGTTTTGCCGCGCGGTATTTGCACTATTTTACAAGACTTACATCCTACCACTTTATAAGATAACCAAAGTTATCACCCCCCGAAATGGGGAAACTAAACCATTCTTATAGGAGGGGAAACCCTATTACAGATTTAGGCAAATGTAGAAAAGCCACCAATAAGTGATTACATCCATGCCCTCCTTTTTTTCCTTGGGAATTTTGTGCTCTCTCTTTCTCTCTTTGTCAGGTACCGTCATATATTCTCCAAAGTTAAAAGAGACAGTTTTGGAGGAATTTCCTATCTGTTTCTTTTAAGATTATGAATTATAGCTACCACATCCATTCCATTCCATTTCTTGTTTCAAAAGCTTTCACCCGCACATAAAAAAATGGGAAACAAACCATTCTTTAACGGGAAATAACTATTTATAACAAATTAGGCAAAAGTGAAATAACCCTTCTGATAGAAAAGCCACAAGTATAAGTGATAGCCATTATGGTTATCAAACAAACCATTCTTTAACGGGAAATAACTATTTATAACAAATTAGGCAAAAGTGAAATAACCCTTCTGATAGAAAAGCCACAAGTATAAGTGATAGCCATTATGGTTATCTTTTCAAAAAAGAAAAGGAAAAGGGAATATTCCAGGAGGAAAAAAAAAAGGCTGGCAGGGGATCTCATGCTCGCTGCCATCTTTCATCATCAGAATTCAGAACAGCCGTGGCCTCAAAACAGATCCTTTGGGATCCTGGCCACATATTTTATTCTCCATCTGGGGCCTCTTCTTGCTCTGAAGTCTGAATTGAGCTGCTGGCTGTGGGCTGTGGCCTGAGAGCATTCTCAGACGAGAGGCAGGGAAGCCAGCAGCAGGACGCAGGGCTCCTTTTGGCATGACGGCTACGTAGTCTTTGGCTGCTGGATTGCTTGGAAATAAAGCAGAAATGACAAGTCACTGTGCGTTCTCATTTCTTGGCAGCTGATGATCACTAGTCATATGCTGCTTATTGATGTTGTAGTCTCCCTTGTTTCCAGGAAAAAGAGAAACTTTTTGTCAGCTATACAAAAATTGCCCATGAAAACTGAATACATATATCACCAAAGTTTATAGAACATTTGAAATGAATAGATAACAAGCTCCTCTAACTCTTGACTGTTTAAATTTTAATACAAACATTTTGCTGAAACATGCAAAAAAAAAGTTTAGCACACTACTGACATTTCTTTTCTCAAAAAGAAGGGCACGCAGTTCATTTTCATACGTCTTCCATTCATCTATGTACTACTATACTAGTACTAGTTGCGATGATCAATGTTGCCCAAGAAGACGCCCCACTTGGGCTCGGCGGCCTGCACGGCGCCGGCGCCGGCGGCGGGCACGTCGACGGTGACCTCCGCCTCGGCGGCCTTCCCGCCGCTGGCGATGGCCGGGACCCCGGCGCGCTCGACGACGGGCCCCGCCGTCGTGTCGCCGCCGCCGCCGCCGAGGGAGAACGGCAGCCGTGGCCTGACCTGCAGCGGGTTGAACAGCGACGCCCACAGGCTGAGCTGCTCCTGCCGCGTGGCGCCCACGTACGGCGGCACGAGCGCTGGGATCCCCCCGCCGCCGCCGCCGGGGCCTGCGAACGCGTGCTGCGCGCCGGTGACCGGGAGCCACGGCATCGAAGCGCCGCCCAGAGGGAACACCACCGGCGGGAACCGCAGCCCGCCCGCCAGCGCGCTCGCCGCCGGCACCTGCACCGGCACCGGCATGGACATCGGCAGCCACTTCGCCTCGCCGAGAGCGTCCCCTCCTCCCGGCCACCTGGCGGCCTCAGGCGCCTCCGCCGGTGCCACGTCGAGCACCGCCTCCTCCACCGCGTGCAGGCGCCTCGCTGCGGCCCCGCACCTCCCTTCGTGCGCGGCGACCAGGCAGAGCGCCGCTGCGACAAGGACGGCCAGGCGGCAGCGGCCACGTCGTTGGTGGTCCATTGCCGGTTGTTGCAAGAGGATGGTTTCTTGGCACGGCGTTCGTCGACGTCGTCGTCGTCGGCGGCGGCGTGGTGCTGCACGGCGGAGGGCATCTCGATCGGTGCCATTTATATCCCAAGCCATGGCCCGCCCATGGGGAGGTTTAGGTAGGGGTTCGTCGGAGACATGCACGATGGACGCGTGCATCCATTCGACGCCACGCCATGGTGCATTGGTGCTCGAGCTTGCTCTCCTACTCGCCTCCTAGCTGCTGCATGCAGTGTTGACCAAGGCTGCTGCTGGACTTGAGGCATGACTTGACGTCTGTTCAGTTAGGCCATGCAATGCCCATGTCATTTCGTTTTTACAGTCTTACTGTCCGAACAACCATCAGTAGAGCAGGTAATTAAGGCCACTTTTCAATTAAGGTCGTATACTCGTATTGATGCAACTTGTAATGCGGGGGTAAACTTAAAGCAGATGCAGGTAAACATACACAACCTAGGCGTGAAAACTCGTGCCGTACACCATTCATTAGCTGAACAGTCGCAACACCTCAACAAGCACTGCGTTATCAGATCAGACACATCACACCAAAATTTGCCGGTTTTGCTGTGAGGATTACATTTTAAGCTGAGAAGAAAACAAAATTGCTGCGATCAGTAGGTTGACCGTCGATTACCGCTGCAAAATGAGCTTGGATTCAGCCGATGTGCTCACGGGCGTGTGATTTCTGTAACTAACCTCAGACGGCACCACCCAGCATCTCTGAAGTACCTTGTGCCTTTGTGGGCATGCATCGATAGCCTTCAGGTCAAAATTTCCTCCTGCATTTCCATTTTGCAACTCGCAAGTATACCATTGTATGAAGGGACAGCTCTAGGATGGCTCACTCGTTTCCAACTGGTCGCTTCTCCAGCAACGATGACAAGAACGCGGAACACAGTTTTGTGAGAGGCGGAAGAACATGAGACGATCCACTGAATATGGTCTCCCAAGGCCTGTCTGAAGGGACGAATGGAACATCTGAGACCTCTTTCTTTGGCTCCAGTTTTTGAAGGTCTCCATAAATAGAAGCGTAGCCGATTGGTGCTGAAACAACAGACAAGAGGTTCAGCGCTTTTACGAAGTAGAAAGGAAATGTGAGAAAATCATTTTTGCACAAGATACAAATAAAAAAAATCCTGCAAACAGTTTCTGAAAAGCACAGCATAGCTGACATACTGATACAGCATTGCTACTATGTTTTGCTTGTTTACCACAAAATACAATCTGGCTAACAGTTGCAAGCAACAAAATAATGCATTCAAGAACAATGCAACAAACCATACAATACTCACCAGGTTCCTCAGCTTGAATTTTCTTGAGCATGTTCTTGCTAACGACCACCTCCTCACTCTTCCGGGGATCAAAGATGACGTATTCATGAGAACCATTTACATAAACCAGCAACATTGCTTCTTTGTCTCTTGAACTATCAACATTTGCATCCAAAGAGACGTCACCTTTTACAAAAGAAATGCTGCCACCCGATGCCTGAAAAAAAGTGGCATTAACCAAAGCTGTGTCATTATCATTATGGTCCCTGGTCCATTATGTGCTACCTAATCTAATAATACATGCAGCAAACACAAATTTTATTGGAGAACTCAATGAATAAGCAACTAAACATACTGTGCTATCTAACAATACAAGTACAGACCTGAGAATATTTAAAAATACCAAGAGCAAATTAAGTTCCTTAAGGTACATCTCGATAGAGCAATATCCCCAAACAAGCTGAGATGACAAAATCAATAACTCAGATGGGACATACCTTCTTTACCGACCAGGAGGCAATGGGGTTTGGGCTTTCTGCATCAAAAAGTAGAATTACTCCGTCTTGCTCTATTGATGTTTCTCCATCAGGACAGCTCAGAAGAGAAAGAACTGCAAATTCACTCCCATCTGGCGAACAGCATGCAGCTGTAAAAAGAAAATGCAACTATGAAAATGAGAATGAGATCAAATGTGCTTGGCTGCTTGCTCACTGACTATAAATTAGTTTTCACAACCCCAACTGTCAGACAACAAATACAGAGGACCAGCTCTACTGAGGTAATAACATTCAAATGTAGTAGCAGCTTAAATGAGTTACTAGATTGTAATTTGGCAACCTTAGAGGTTGGCCAGATTCATCACGGTGATCATGCATTCATGCTGAAATTGAATTAGACAGGGAAGGGGCAACAACAAATGTATCAGAAATGTCAGGTAATCTTATGTGCCTCTGTTCCTCTGCGAGCTCGAATAAGGAGCATGATCCACATACAAGCATCAGAACTACAAATTGTTTTCTCAATAGGAAAAACATGAAAATGCCTTGTAAAAGAGGCAGGGCCAGAAAGTATTGACTTTTCCTAAACCTACATAGCATAAATTATGCTACTACCATAGTTTGTACCTTCTGCATAAATGCTGTAAGACCATTGCATGGAAAGATTTGAAACATTCCATAGAGCAATCTGGGGTCTTGAACTCTGACATAGAGACATCAAAAACACTGATGTCCCAACGAAAGAAAGATTTGTCACTGGCTGCAGATACAATAAATGACACATCAAACTGCTATTCTAAGGCACAGGTAAAACATAAAAAATATGTCAAGGAATTATCAGATACCGATAGTGTTTCTGCAATGACACCAACAAGTGCGTTATTATCAGGATCCCACAATGTGATGACATTCTCGGCTGCAACTGCAAGAACAGATCCATCGGCTGAGAAGGCTACTGATGTCATAGGTTTCTTCCTGCAAAATTTTAAACGCTCAAATATCATATGATGGAAGCCTAAATGCTTGTATGACTATTTTAGTGTTTTCTAATCATCAAACATTAACAGGTATTGTTCAAACGTAAACAGATTCACAACTCACTTGTATGAGCCAACTGATTGGCATCTCCAACCAGAATAATTTCTTTCATCACTTGATTGTGAAGGCAAACTCTGGACCCAAACCTACATAACAGAAAGACAAAACTTATGAATTGAGGAAACAGAGCATCCTCTCAAAGGTTACAGCCATGCACACCTTAAAGTTACCACCAAAAGAAGAGCTCACAGCCATATTTCTTCCTGGGCGGAAAGCAACAGAAGAAACCCCAGCATCACTGTATGGAAGATTAAATATAAAGTTAGAACAAATCATACTTTCATTTTGTATCTATCACTTATAAACATGAATCAACCTGTGAGGCTCATAAATGATGGTGGACAAAAAATAATGTCCAGCTCTAGACCCATGATTCCAAAATTTCAGTGTAACAAGACCACCTAATTCTTCTTCAGGAAGCTTGACATCCACAGTGCACATCAAATTGCCATCGATTGACAATGAAACCAAGGAAATGTACATCTGTGTCAAAGGGAAAAAAATGGAACATGTCAAAAGCTAAGGTTAAATTCTGAATACCAAACAAGAAGAATAAATTATTCAAGCATGGTAACTAGTAGAAATTTATTTTCACTGCAACAGGGCAACCAAAAGTAATTATGGAGTGGTGAAAAATGTTTGGCACATGTAAAGAGAGATAAACAAAGAAAATAAAAAAACTATGTCACTAAAAATAAACAAGTGAAAAGGAGGTATCTTACCGTGATATCATCATTAGGCTGAAAATTCCTCTCACATACTTGCATCTGAAAAGATTAACAATGTTAGGGTTGGTTTCAGTAAAAATGTCCATCATGTGAAACAACCACCAACTGACAATACTGCCCAAAGGAGGATAGAGTAAACATGAGAACTTAATTCTCTTACCTCTGAAACCTCAGCGTTCTCAAACAAATTGTAGAACTGTATGAAGTAATCTTCTGTTGGTATAGCAACAAGTCTATTAGTATAATCAAATCCATACACAGCCCGATCAGCTCCAACCAAGTTCGGGGAAGCAATTGGCAGCTAAAGAGAAAAATACAGGAAAAGATCACCACAGGATCATGACCATACAGTAACAGAAACAATAAAATAACATTGCATTATTATTATTATTATTATTATTTTTTTGGGGGGGGTTCTGCTTATATATTACAAACCTTGATTCCAGCAATAGATCTCATGACCTCCAAATTAGGCATTCTTAGGAGGTAGACTTGATTATTTGTACACGACACCTGAAATACAAACAACAGCTAACATTCACACAACGGGCAAGAAAATCAAACAGACCATATCAAAGATGCAGCTTGCAACACAGTCACGACTCATGAGTAACTTAGCCAGTCTTAAGTCAGACAAAATTCATGAATCTAGGACAATTACATATGAAAGTAGGGCCATATCTTACTTCTCTGCCAGCTCTAATAAAAACTATTTAACCAGTTCTTTATACTAAGGCATACCTGCATATCTTTAGTGATGTAAACCATGGTTAAATTTCACAGCACAAGCAGGCATTCACTCAACAATCTAGAAGCTCTCAATATGCTTGCATAGGATACTCACACAAATAACTTCTTAGGTTTTTCTTGTATGACGAAGCAAGCAGGAAACAGACTTAAATCAGTAATTACTTGCATATTCGTGTACCAAAGGAAAATAAGGGGTAACAAAAGGTCATTTCAACTATTAATCTTCAACAAGAACAACAACAACAACAAAGCCTTTAAGTCCCAAACAAGTTGGGGTAGGCTAGAGTTGAAACCCAGCAGAAGCAATCAAGGTTCAGGCACGTGAATAGCTGTTTTCCAAGCACTCCTATCTAAGGCTAAGTCTTTGGGTATATTCCATCCTTTCAAGTCTCCTTTTATTGCCTCTACCCAAGTCAACTTCGGTCTTCCTCTGCCTCTCTTCACGTTACTATCCTGGCTTAGGATTCCACTACGCACCGGTGCCTCTGGAGGTCTCCGTTGGACATGTCCAAACCATCTCAACCGGTGTTGGACAAGCTTTTCTTCAATTGGTGCTACCCCTAATCTATCACGTATATCATCGTTCCGAACTCGATCCCTTCTTGTATGACCGCAAATCCAACGCAACA